TAAAAATTAAAAAAATTTTTTAAATTCTTTTAACTTGACAATGATACTTGATAGTTACACAAATTGTTTATATCGAATAATCTTTGCAGTGTTACGATACGTTTATACGACACGTTTATAAAAAAAATCCATGTGAAGTGAAATTAAAACGATGTCTACTTGAAGAAAATCTCTGTCGCATACGTAGGCGTGTTTTGGGTTACACAGTCTGGTAATTGGCCTATTCAGATCGGGTGCAATATTTTGACGTGGTTTCGTCGATGACACGTGCGACCAACAAATTGGCAAGCACGTGTCAGCCGACTTGTGCGTAAGGGAGACTTTTGTCTGACTTTAAACGTTACCCCGTCTGCCGCGTGTGAAGCGGTCATAGGTGTGATCGGTTAATTGTCGAGCGAATCTCTTTTTTCAACGATACATAATTTCATTCAATTATGTCGCTTTAGAGCTTCTTTTTAGGTAATGCGTTTCTGCATAACCGATAAAGTTTAATAGAACACTATAAAGTGCCATTATTTATCCTTGAAGATATTATAAAGATATTTTTTAATAAATTATGGCATTAAAACTATTATTTTTATTTTTGTAATTAATTTTTAGCTTTTATGATATTCCTATTGCACTCTATACATGTGTAGATATAAACGCTTTGTAGAAATAATTTAACATCGATATCGGTAACATTTCTCAATATCATAAGTTTCATTAACTCGAATTTAATCGGCAATCTTCATTACCATTGATTCTCGGCGCTTCCGTTTCTTGTCGTCTTCGAAGGACCGAAGTCCACGAATTTTCCATCGAGAGCTCTCGGTCTCGGATACAGAATTAGTCGAGAAAGAGAAAGAAGGAGCGCGCGCGGGATCTGCGAAGGCACGGCTAGCAAAGAGAATAAACGATGCCAAGAAATATCGGCAAAAATTACGACCCTTAAAAACAGCAAAAGAGCGAGTTCCTTTCTCAGCTGCTTCGTCGTCGTCGTCGTCCGAGAGATGATCAAGGGGCCGTCCTCCCATTCGATCTCTCGATCCTCGACGTGCGCCCCCGATCTACCTACCTACCTACCTACCCCCTTCCGGACGTTCGCGCGTCTGTTCCTCTTCATCGTTTTCGTGCCCTCCTCCTTACTTACTCCTCTGCTCTTTCTCTCCTCCTACCTCTCTTTTCACTCGCGTTCTCTCTCTTTCTTTTCATCTCACACATAGGTACACGTAGCATACACATTATTTCTCTCCCTCTCTATTGACGTCTTCTTCTTTTTTCCTCCCTCGCGTGTTTTGCCAAGAGCCCTCACGGGCGGAAGCGTCACGTACTGCTCTGAAACAAAAACGTAGCGACGTCAAATGCGATTACGAGAGCTGCGAGAGCAGCTCCAGAACGCGGATGCTGCGCCAGGTTAGGTAGAGAACGGCGGTGGCGAGAGGGAACAGGGGGACGAAGCGGGGAAAGCAAGAGGACGAGGAGAGGAGATGAGGCCGACGAGGCGAGGGGGATGTTCGTGCCATGAGGACGGCTTCGGGGGGACGAGACGACGAGGAGGTGCGAGTGGGTGAGCGAGGGGGCGGCAGGGGGCGCGCGGACGCTTATCAGGGGTGGAGAATTGTCGGGGGGTGGGCGAGAGAGCCGGGGTTGGGCGAGATTCTGCGAGGGCTCAGAGCGATGGCTCGGGCGTATATATGTGCGTGTGCATGTGTTGGGGATGTGTGTATATGTGTGCGTGCGTGCGAGAAAGTTTAGCGCGCGCGTTTAGATGCGTGCGTGCGCGCGAAAAATCGATCGCGCTGTTCGACGCGTGCAATCGTGGACATCAGCTACGAACTGGTAACTCTGGAGGACCGTGCTCTGGTTAATTACTATTATCGCGAATTTCGCCGGAGTGTCGTAGTTAAGTAATTTTTTTCGCGATATCCCCTTTACCGCATTACTGGAAAATATGCTGATTAATTAATCGGCTCTTATTATTGTGTATTATTGTAGTATAATATACTCTATCAATGCATTGCCTTTATAAATTCTGTTGCATTCTTTTTATATAAATAAGAACGAGTTGAAGTTTACACTAAACTGATACGTTCTTTTATTTTCACACTTTTATATTACTTTTGAAAATTAATATTAATAATAGAAATAAATTATATATCCAGCAATACACAAACTGCTTTATGAAGCAGAAAAAATGCGTCGATTTTCGCAGACACCGATTGATTTAATTATAGATGATTTTTTACGATGTCACAATACCAATAAGTGGTCCATAGCAATTACGTACTGTCTATATTAATGTCATACAATTGTAGAATATCTACAATATATTAGAATTCGTGCGTGCATCTTTTTTATATGCGTTTCAATTAATTACATTATGACAGCACAAATTTCCTAGAAGAAGGAACATTTTAATTCGACAATATTCTCATATGTATTTTTCAATAAAACAAAACAACGGGAAAAACGCGTTCCTCATTCCATTCTATTCACGAAAGAGATGGAGTAACTTATTTTCAGAGTGACACCCGTTAGAATTAACGTTTCAACGTTGGCGGCCGGGGCTGACGATGGTCGCCAAGCCTCCATTAAAAAGTTGTTAAACGCAGCCTGACGGCGCCCCGCGGCAAATTGGAACCCCATCATAAGTCTTCCTTGTATATAATGTACATGGCTGTTAGAGCAAGCCATCTACAAGATAGTGAGATCGAAGTAATTAAGTATTTCGACGAAGATATTTTGATCAGGCTGAGTAGATCAGCCGATGGATGTATGCGTGAAAGGAAATGAGAATTTCTCCCTCTCGAGCGGAAAAATAGGTTACAATAACATATTTAATAAAAATAATGTAATTTGAAAAAATATTTGCGCCCTACGAATGAAACATTGCGTGCGTGTCTCTTATATAAAGAATTATATATATATAATAACAATTATAATATCTCTTATTTATTTAATTATTGTTGTGTATAATTAATATAAATTTAATAGAGATACTGCGGTTTAAAATTGGAAAAAAATAATTTGCAGACAGCTCATTAATGACAGTCATCTGTGGCACGCATACACAACATGAGTGGGATTGTAGTTTCCGAAACTTACTTTTGCACTCGGTGGTTAATATCGGTTATTATTATCTTAGATAAGAAAGTACAAAAACAACTGTGTCGCGAAGTTTTGTGTCACAAAGATGCAATAAATTTGTTTGACATTTTCCGTCCATTCCTTCCATTCTCGCTCTACGCTACTTCTTTTCCGAGGGAGGAAAAGCTCTCGAACAAGTTCAACGTTTTCTACGTAACGCTGACTGGAAACTCTTGGCCAGGCCAACGGAGAGGTTCAAAATAAGAGAAAAGCACCGCGTAAAAAGCATCGAAGTGGTACGGTGCCCGGCGAGAGAGGATGGTTTAAAAGTACATGGGATGGAAAAGGTGTGTAAAGGACGTATAGGTAATACTGTAAAATGTAAAGCTGCACAAGTGCGCGCGTACCGAAATCTACTTCTCGCCTAATGGAAAAGTCACTTATATATTACAGCAAATAATGTACGTAAAGTTTCCGGATATTTCGCAAATAATCGTTGCCGAGGCAAAATCTCGAGGTAAAATTCGCGAAAATAGAAGACCGAAATGTACTCTCGTGCAATTAGCGTCCGAATGAAAAACATATCTCCGGTTTCCTTAGAAATTCGACAACCGCACATTTCACATCGCAATCCTAATTCGAGATTTTAAGTCTTTTCATGAATTTTTACGTTTTTACAATTTTGCGATTATGATGGTTCTCGAAAGATAGATCCATGCAACGTCGTCGGGACCGTTCATTAGCCAACCGGTGCCCGAGATCATACTTGGGACAGGTGTTTGGTGATATTATGTATATCACACGCACACGAAGAAATCATCGTCGTCGCGCGGAGAACGAAAGAGGGTCTGAAAACCGTGGCAAGTCGAAAAACCGCTGTGCGGCATTTCCAATTCTTTTTGCCGCGGCCGCGCACACGCATCGGCGTGGCGCCGGGTCAGCTTTCAGGCTAACGCGGTTAAGAAAATATTTTTAAAATAATTTTGCACTTAGGTCCCGCTGCCGCTGCCGTTAAGCCGGACAGAGACGGCGGGGCAGTGACTGGTGAGAAAGAATGCGAAAGAGAGAACGGGTAAAAGAGTGTGAGAGGACGCTTTACGATTTTATCCCATTCCCGCGTGTCTCGCCCCCTTACATGTGTTTAGCGAAAAAAAGAAGAGAAGAAAGCCGGACGTTGAGGGGGGGAGGGAGGTGTGTAATGATATTTCTATCATTTAGCACGCCGGGAATAATCCCGATGAAATTATGCGCCCCCGTCACGTAGATTAACGCGAATGTTTGCGATGCGAAACGTACAGCTAGGTGTTGTTTAATTAGACACGGACGCAATTGAATGTGGATCGGATTGATTGTGCGAAAGAAATGTGAGCGAATGATTAATAATGCGTAGTTTAAAACAATTAGGTTCTTTCGAATGATTCTGCAGATTGAATCAAATATCAAAAACTAGAAAAATGAAAATAATCTGACGTAAATATGCTTCTGGCGCACATATCAAAGTTTACATATCATATCTAAAATATGTCAGATATCTATAACAGCTCTATAATGATTATATTAATATGACATTCGTGTTGCGTTAAATCTTTTTGTGACAATTTCTGTAATGCATTAGATTTTTCAACTCAAAAATTTCCGGTATTTTTTATACGCTTATATTTTTTTCTCATTTACTCAAGCACACTTTTTTGTTTCCTAGTCAATTTTATCGATTTCCACTTTAACGCTATTGCATTCAATAAGCATAAAATGAAATTAATGACACTCCCAACTCAAGACGCGAAAATATATGAATAAAAAAATATATTAATTTTTTTTTTCCTTTTCCTTTTATTAAAAATTTCTATTAATTTCTCTCTTTGCGATTTATATTTTCTCGTCCCATATGCCTTTGTCTCGCTGTCAACTCAGTACTATCCTTTTCTTTTCAGTTTCTTCTCTGGTCGGTCGCGACGCACGCACGGTTGATCGGGCTAACGAAGGCAGTGCGGCAAAAATTGGGAAGGAAACCTTCGCTCTTTTTTCGTCCGACGATCCGGAGCGGAAGAGGGCAGAGCGGAGAGCGCGAAAATCGTACGGAGCACGAAAATCGAGGAGGAAATGCGGAAAATCGCCTCGGTCGTCTGCAATCACGCTGTCGGTGAGAGGAATTGCCGCAGACTATAAGAGAACACTCTTTCTCTGTCTCTTTGGACGACGGGGCAGCTTGATTATCGTAAGTATATATGAGCGTACGAAGATAAATCACGCGATCGCATCGTTCGCGCTTGGAGTATTTTCTCGAATATGTAAAAAATATTTTTATCTCTTTCGCGCAATCGCAAAAAATTTTTGCGCAAAATAGTACGATCAAAATTACAATTGAACATTTGCAATTTACATTATAATTTACTGATGATTAACTGAAATTATACTTGATTCTATTGAAATTATGAAATTGAATGCATCACGATTTACAAGTAATTTAAGGTTGAACATTTTAAAGGGGCAAAAGAAAATAATTGGAAAATAGTGCACTTATATTTTAATGGAGGAAAAATTATTTCAGCTCTTAACAAAGAATATCAAATTCTCACTAAAGTGTCTTTCTATTTGCTGAATATTTATCTTGTTCATTGCGTTTAGATTGCGCTAATTCACGATTATCCTGCAATCTTGATCAAGGAAACAAATTTTGCTGATAAGTGACATTTATTGATAAGTGACATTTGCTATATCGAGTACTATTATCGATATTCGATGTATGGTAGAATACATTAACGAAGCCAATTAGCGCTCTGAGAATACAATTTCTACAAATCTTCAAATTCGAGGGAAAATATGAACACGATCGAAATGTTTGGCCGTATGCACATTGGGAACTGATAAATGATAGTCATGAATGCCGAACTGGATGAATCATTTATGAATCCATTAACCATTTGTATCCTGACGAAATTTGCAAACTCTACAATTTTATAGCCAGTAATGACATAAATGCATGAAAAATTGGGTGTTTAGAAAATCTGTCTTTTTTTTTCTAGTTTAAAGTGAGAATTTTTTTATCAAATACAATCACAGTAACACGTTTGCAAAAAAAATTCAGCATAGTGAAATTGTTTGATAGTGAACAGATACGTGTATATTAAAGCATTATCAAAGATACACAAGTCATTGATAATATCGTTAACCGATGTGCATGCGGCCTTAGGTGGACATGCGAGATCGAACGGAATGAGGCAATGGCGCGTAAAAAAGCTCCAGATAACATGACGATATTTCGAGCGGCATATCGGCAAAGCTCAAAGAGTTAATCGTATGTCCGCGAGGCAGAGAACAGAACGGGAGAGGAAAAAAAGCGCCGCGAGCCGGCCGCGCGTGTATTTTCGATAATTATTCGACAGTCGATTTGCGTGCGGATGGACTGCGCATTGCGGGGGGTGAACAGGGGGTCGGTGAACGAACGAACGAGAGCGGGTCGGGCACGGGGGAGTAGACGCGATTGCGGGGTCGCGGGGGTGGTTTCCGAGAGTCGTGTTCAACCATCCGGAAGCTATGAATATATTATTTGACGGGCAGTTTCGGTAGACTCCGATCGGATGGAGCATCGATCATGGCTGGCGCATCCCTTTGGGCCATTTTCATGCGTCAGAATGCGACACGCCTGCGATCGAGCGATTGCCGCGAAAATAAAAAAAAAAGTATATACACGCGCACACACAAACAAACGCGGCCGCTAACCAGCGCGATATTTTCCTCGTATCAGAATACGCGGACGGCAATATAAAAAAATGGACACTGGCAGTGGTTCGATCTTCGTTCCTTCGCGAGGTAAGAAGGTCAACAGGTAGGCATGAAGAATGTTATATTTTACATATAAAGGATTAATACAAGAAATAACTAAAAAGAACGGGGTATATTGCGATATAATTTTACGTACTTTTCTTCTTTTTTTTAATCATTTTTTATCTTTTTTTTGTTTCCACTAATTTGTAATTTAAATCACATAAGTTTCACAAGATTTTTTAGAATCGTTATTGGTTTAGGAAGAGATATCAATGATTCATATTGCGATTTGCTTTAAAACTTATTAAATACACGCAGAATTACAATCCAAAAATAATATGTTGATTAATTAAGTGTGCATTTGCAATTGCAAGAAAACCATTCTCTCATCAAAAATATTTAAATATCTCCTAATTCAATAGTTTGAAATTGCAGTTATTAGTCAAACTTAAACAACTTTTACTTTGAGTAATGATAACCGGAATTTTCGCAAAGACAGATTGTCGCTGAGAGAAAGGATGAAGGTAATGAGAAGTTAAAATTACAACGGAAAACGGTAGAATATTCTGCTTTCTGTAACACACAGTAGAGCGATAATTTAAATATTATAAAATATAACATTCTTGTTTCGTATTGTATAAGTTTCTAATGTTGTAAAATTTTCAATAATCACTCAGAGACAGACAGATATCCATAAATTAATCTAAAAGAGTTAAATTTATTTAAAAAATTAAAAAAATTAATTACGACATGTCCGAATGTTAATTGCATAAAATATACAACACGATCTAAGATTCCGAGAATTGTTGAAAAGTTTGTTCGGAATATCGTGCGATTGAAACGCATCTGTGAGCGGTAAACTGTTCACGGAGAAATCGCGATAGGTGGTCCTTTATTCATAGTAATCGAGTAGAAAATTCAATCACGATCTGATTTTCGCATGGCTAGTTTCGCTGATTATTATTGATTCGAGTTTCAAAAGATAGCCTCCAATAAAAAAGAAGTATTTTCCGATGAATCCCTTTCTTCCGCATTATCGCAGCTGTTGACATTAATTTCAATCGGCTGCGCGCCGAATTATCTGCAATTTGTTTTTAATTTTACTCTTTGATATATATTGAATTTTTAATTATTTAATATAATTAGAGCAGTATAGTTAATTGAAATTTAGATATTTTTACTTAATTAAATGTATACATCATACGAATATGATTTTTTAAATTAAATTGTAATATGCCTTTTAATTAACTCTAAATGGAATTACATATTAATGATAGGATAGAATACATATTATTCAGAATGAGAATTAGCTACTATTACGCATATAACATTTCACCAGGCACACTTATCGTGACGGTCATGCGATATGATAAAATGCATCTGGAAAAATTCGGGATTGAGGGGGGCGAACGCGTTGATGCTGGAAGATGCAGTCCGACGTAACCTTTGACGTCGGCTCGCGTTGCATTATAGTCAGCGCGGGCGCGCTTTGAAGTCCGTGTATTTTAATGCAACGGCGAATTGTGCATATCGAGAGACTGCTGAATTAATCGCAGGGCACTCGGGCGGGAGAAAGGGAACGGACGGGTGAAACCTAGAGAAGGGGGGAACGAGCCGGCCCCGCTTTTCTGGGGCACGTGCCCATGGGTATCGGTATTTCGAGGTGCGTTAATACCTCACTATCCAGACGGATAGAGAGAGAACAGAGCGAAACATCCACTCCTGCACATTGTTTGCGGCTTGGAATCAATAAAAGCATAGCTTTAGGCTACGGTGGTTGCCATGGCAACCGGAGACCCATCCGTGCACTATCCCACTCGTCCTTTCTCTCTCTCTCTCTCTCTCTCTCTCTCTCTCTTCTCTCTCTCTCC